ACACACATGCAACATGCAACACGCAACACGCAACACACAAGACACAACACTCAGCACTCAGCACTCAGCACTCAGCACTCGGCACTCGGCACTCGGCACTCGGCACTCGGCACTCGGCACACAGCTTACAGCGCACAACAGCACGCAACACACAGCACACACAACACCAAACATAACATCGCGCAACACAACACAACACACAACATGCGCACTGCACTCACAACACCGCGCACACTCCTCTGGAAGGCCGGAAAGGGCTCATCCATTCGTTTGTCACAATCCACAGACATCCTCATGTTGGATTTTCAGTCCTTGAATTTTTAATTTGATGATTATAGTAATCTATAAATTTTTTCAACAATATATTCAGTAATCAATATATGTCAATTTATAGAAATGTATTTATCAATCTCTAGATTTCGGATTTCCAGCTACTTTTTATGAAGAAAGTGAACTGATATATTATCTCCAAAACTAATCAACGAATTTTGCTCTCATTATTAACATTCGTTAGTCTTCGCTTCCAAATGGTTTTCCGAGGCTCGCAACTGTGTGCAGATTTCGGGATCTCAGCAAATAGCATAGCAACTGACGCTTCTGGGCACGAGGTTCGTCGTCTCGATATCCAAGCAAAACTGCGAACGATTGCGCTTTTATTTGAACTGTTCGATCGTGATTGGGAATAGAATGGCCCATCCGAAAATGGGCTATCGTGAATCATGAAGCTTCCAAGAAGGAAGATTCGAGTCTTTTTCGTGCATCTTCAAGCAATTCCCCTTGAAAACGTTGGGGCGCAGGATGGCAACCACAACCAGGCTGATGACGGCAGAAGGCGTCAAAACTTCGCCAATATCTCCTTTGTGTGGCTCCAAACAGTGTCTTTCGCTTCTTTGTGGAGGCTCGTCAGCGTGCCAGTGTTCTCGCCGTATTGGTTCACGATGTAGAAGCCACCGCCTTTGAAATCATCATGATAGAGGCTCCTGAACATGTACCTTGGCTTTCGACTCTCGTTGATTGATGTCAACCCTGTAAATCCTGAGCCCACAAACTCATCCAGGAAGGCTGCTAATGACTCGGCATGCAAACTTGCGTTTGCCTGTTGAAAGGCATGATCATTCTTCTCTGAGAAGAAGAGCACAAGAGAAAGGGTGTGGACCTCCGACGCCATCAGAAACCCAACAAACCAGACGTAACCCAGCACTTAGATCTTTCAGTCTCATCGCCGACACATCCCCGCACTCACAGCTGGCCTCCAGCCCAAGATCGTTCGCATTAATGCACCAAGCACGAGCCGTGTGTAGCAACGGTCCCATAAATCTCTGACTACTACTACTACTACTACTACTACTACTACTACTACTACTACTAGTACTAGTACTAGTACTAGTACTACTAGTACTACTAGTACTACTAGTACTACTAGTACTACTACTAGTACTACTACTACTACTACTACTACTACTACTACTACTACTACTACTACTACTACTACTACTACTACTACTACTACTACTCCTGCCACTACCACTACCGCTATTACTATTACTACTACTACAACTACAACTACAACTACAACAACAACAACAACTACTACTACTACTACTACAAACCCCAAACCTTGAACCCACCCGCAAATGCTCTCCAAGTCGCTCAGCAGCATCCTCCTTCGAGCGACCCAAGTTCTGCAACAGCCGAACCAAGGCCTGTCTCATGTTATTATGTGTACATCAGGTTTAGGCTTCGGGGTTAAAGTGAGCATATCTACTCCGATACTAACTTCTATCATGTTGTGATATAGTGTAGTGCACTGTCTTCACCGAAATAACAGCTTAAGGTGTGCCTTGTGAGGGCTGCTGCCAGACCGCCTATTCCAGGCATAGGGATCTACGGCGTCGCTTATCGAATTCTTGACCCACAGGACCCGAATTTGATAGACACTCAGTATTGGTTAGATATGATATAAGATCTAGGTTGATTGCAACTTCGTTTATTTCCCAGTAAACATTGCCAATCTCTGGAGACTCTGCAGCTGGGATTTGCGATTTTCTGCCTTGAGTTTGCATGCATTGGGACTTCAGGGCTTTGCTTTGCTTTGTTTAAACGCCTTCTTACCAACTGCACGAAGGAATCCCATCGAGAAAGCGTGTGGAGAACGATCCGTCTGCAAATGCCCGCGTTTTTGCTGCTTGATCCCAACGGTGCCTTAACGACCGCCGGCATTTCGGTTCCCCAGGAAGTGGCCACGAAGCCCGGGGATGCGTGTGCGAAGCTCACGCCTCAGGTCTCGGGTCAAGGGAATTTTTTCAATTCCTAATCCCGACAAAATGACTGATTAAAGTTTAACTAATAAAAGGAATGAACCCATGACCTCAATCACCAGCATGGTCACTGACACCGAAATTTTGTCGATTGGTAGGAAATGTACTTTGTGCTTGTTCGGACGGGGGCCTGGGTATGCGCTGCTTAGCGCATCCGCCGCGATGTCGTTGTAGAAGCCTCCAGGCCACAGGAGCATTTGGGAGTTCCCGAAAATAGGGTATCTTTTTTTTAGGGTCCTTATAATGAGGATCCCGTCCTACTATTTAGGGTACTATATTAGGGTCCCCTATTTTTCGGAAACCCCCATTTGGGCTGCAGGGCCAAGAGACCATGCCGACGGGAGGTGAGGGAAGGGGTGTTTCCTCTGTAGGTTGGAGAACTCCCTGAACAAATGTCACAACATCTCCTAACTCATCCTTCCAAACAACAACCAGCCACTGTTCATCCTCCATCCCGCCACAGACTCCTTCTCCCGGACTGAGCATTCGAAAGCCACTATCACCCTTCTGTCCTTGATAACAACTTCTCACTTCCTTGGCACTCTATACTGGTAGGCCCCTCTGAAGCAACAGGTCATTAAGAGGTCACTGCCGTCAGTCCCCACTGGTCTTCTGCTGAGGCTTTGAGGCTCTGAGGCTCAGCCACACAGCTTCAAAGGCTTTCTGAAGGCTTCTACCCTGCACGGCCCTGGAGAGTTTAGACCTTACGTACTCAAGCTCATATTCCACTTGTACAATGGAAGGGGTCCCTGCGAAGATGACGGGGGCAGAAGCGCGGGTTGTACAGAGGACGTAGTAGTAGTAGTAGTAGTAGTAGTAGTAGTAGCTCCTGCATCTGCGAAGCCTAAACTTTTCAACCAGCCCCAAACCCTCAAGCGCAAAATCCCGAGCCTCAGTGTCCCTAAACCCTAAACCCCTAAACCCTACTCAGTGTCAAGAATCAATGCAAAAACTCTGAAATCGGAAAAGCTCGAAGCGGCTAGTGCTACAATGGGAGCCTCCCTGCTGCCTGGGTCATTAGCTTTACACGCTTTTTGCATTATAGCATTATATAAATATAAACAAACAAATGAATAACGTAAGTATACATATACATTGAATATATATATATATATATATATATTATTATATATGTATATTACACGTGCAGATTTCTGTACAGGGTTCTTGTAGGAATTCATAGACCTGATCTGGTGTTGCTGTGTTATCGGGTTTCTGGGGGCTTTTAGGGCTCTAGGGCTTCTTTGGCTTAGGGCGTCTTGGATTTGTTCAGAGCCTGCGAGGTTGGCTGCGTTCGTCAGGGAATAGCCCTTCGAGAGGTCGGGGTCCTCGCAAGAAAGGGAGAAACATGAAACAGGTGCCTAATTAGAATAGGGTCTTGGGCTACAATGCAGCAAAATTCTATCAAGGGGCCCTAAGAAATGGTGTTGATAATTATTCCGGCCCCCATGTTCGAACTTCGTTTTAGGTCCACGAATTTAGGGTAAACCTTACGATGAGGGTGTAGGGTTTACGGTTGCGCGTGCTCTTACATGACAGGGATCCGGTCTGTTTATCTATAGCGGGTGTCTGTTGTGTGACTCGCCCAAACAACTCATCGTTTTGAAGCTTGAACCCACATACTGAAGTCCAAAAGCTTGAACACCTCCACACCAGAAAGGACGAGCATTAGGGTGAAGGGTTAAGGTTCTAGACATATCTAGACCGAACTCTCACTCACCTGGAAAACGAAGGTGAAACCGCTGTTTCGATACCTGTTCTCCATTCGGGTCCTCCACGTAGCCTGCGTAAGCACTGTGAATACCACCACTCAGCACTGACAAACAGCGCCCATCGCTCGACTTCTGCAGAAGAGGCCCCAGGGCATCCATCAGCAACGCCCTGGAGACCAATATCCCTTAATTCAGGACTGTGCTTTAAATGGCAGAAAAAGCCAAAGGTATGTTCCTTGAGTAAGGGGCATTGGAGTCATTGGGAGTGGGGTTGTGAGGAGCATCGTACCAGATTTACATTGGGTTCTACGCCAAACTACAGGTACCTGTTACTCTGGCTCCTACATACTGCGACCGTCAAGAATAGGACTCTTCAGCGTTTGGTGATTCCGCTCTGTTCGTCTTCGAACTCCACGATCACACGCTGCTGGTGAAGGGTTTCGGGTTCAAAAACCTCGGAAAGCAGGTAGCTTCTAAGCTGGGCGGTTAGGCTTCGTCCGGGGATTTGCCATCAGCGACACGTCGTGGCATACCGTTCTGGGATTCTTCGCCAGCCACAGCCCGGAAAGCCTGGAACTGTTATCTTTTTCATGCTTTTGGTCGCTGGGACTCTCATTCATCCTGTCGTTGGGGTTGTCATGTTGTTGTAATTCCTTGTGTCAGGTCTTGTCATTAAATAATTAAATGACAAAACACGACAGGAAAACAACAAACAACGAAGAGAAGGTACTGTTCTCGGGATTTCCGGCTCCTGTCCGCCTGGACACTCTGCGCCCCTCCCCTTAACCGTCTCCAAAAAACAACAACTGGAAGTAAACGTAAACTGACGAACAATAACAAAAGAACCGACTAAAGGGACTGGAAGAGGACAACTGTCTCGAGGATTCGCTGTTTTCAGGATTTCCGCCTCTCCCCCACCTGGATTTTCCGAAGGGTTCCCAGAATGACAATACATGTCAAGAACATGGCCGAACACATGCTCTTCACCATCCCTGCGGCTGGCTTAAGGATTCTCACAAATATACGGTTCCACGATGCCTGCAGGAACTACTGTCGGTCTCGCATCGCAAGTGGCACATGCTGCTAGCCCATCCTAAACGAAACAGCCTGAATGATCAAATCCAAATCTAACATTCCACTAGGAATGCCCGAAACCTCCAAATACAACCCGTAGCCCAGCGTAAACCAGCAACCTGTGTTCCTTCTTCCTGAACCAAACGTCGCGAATACCACCAAACCAACCGCAAACCCTAAACACGAAACAGTGAAACAGCAACCCTCAACCCAACACGACAATCCCAAACCACATCGACTAGAAGCCCTATGCTGCCTGGAGTAGTAGTGCAATGTGAGCTTCTCGTCCAGACCACCCTTCTCTGGAGGTGTGGGCGTGTAGCCCTGCCCGCGGCGGCACGGCGGCTGATGTTGTCCCTACATCAACCCTCCATTCCACGATCCACAGCTTTGATGGTGTTCCTCCTCCTACCGTTCGCGCAAATGAATCGCTGTGGTGGTGGTTGTTGTTGTTGTGGTGGTGGTTGTTGTTCTTGTTGTTGCGAATCTTACTGTTTCTGCCATGCTGCTCGTGGCTTGTCATGCCTCAAGGCTTCTTGAAGCGAGAGCATAACTAGCCCTCATTACTATTCCCGAAGCATCGCCAAGGAGGCCTGCAGAGTGGCCATTCCTTGTGTGAGGACCAGGTAGTCCAAGGGCGCTTCTGATTTCAGGAGGTCATCGGCCAGTGCTCTGCATGCAGGCATGGAGAAAGCATCAAGGGCTCGGAACCTGTAGACCTCAAGTCAATTTCTGTTTTGGACGCTGCTTTTCTGCCCGTGCCGGCTCGGGCTAGGGTTCGCGGTTTTGGGGTTTGTCCACGCATTCTCGGGACTAGCTACAGGGCCGCAGCAAAACCCTAAACCCTAAACCACAAAACGGTTTCCCCAAAACCCTGCCTTAAGCCTTAAACCCCTAAATGCCAAAAGCCCTAAAACCCTAAACCCCTAAGTGCCAAAAACCCAAAGTGCGAGCTGAAGCACGCTGCCGTCGCTGGCGGCGCCTCGCTCGCTCGCGGTCTTTTGGAGCTCCTGGCAGGGACGGCCTTCGAGGGTCTAGGGCTTAGAAGGTTTAGGGTTTTGGGTTGGGGTTTAAGGGTTAAGGGTTTAGGCTTTAGGTTTTTGGGGCTTAGGGCTTGTAGGGCCTAGGGCACTTATAAGGTCTGGGGATGAAACGGTTTTTAGGGTTTAGGGTTTATGGGGTTTAGGGCTGAAGGTTTAGGGCTCAGAGGGTTTGAGGGGCTTAGGGTTTTCGGGGTTAGGGTTTTAGGGTTTAAGTTAGTTACGTTTTTTAAAGCGTAATGGACGGTTCAGGGTTTGGGGATTAGGCTTGAGGGCTTTTGTTAGGTCTAGGCAGAGGTTCAATCTGCGCATGCAGAGGTGGGAAGCGAGGCATACCCGAATCCATGTGGCAAGGTACGCTGCGTCCGTGACACCACCGAACGATTGCTGTGGTACCTTTGAGCCTTTGGGATTTGGTTTTGTAAGGCGGAAAGTGCAGATGGCAGGCTTCAGCACAAGACCTAAAGCACAAAGTGAACACAAACGTCCGCACCTCGACGATGGCGGCTCCTCTTTCTTGGGACCTGCCAACCTGCGGGGAAGAAGAGGTGTGAGCGTCTGACGAATAAGACTAGTCCTGCAACGCTTAGTGCTTTAAAGTCCCATGTGTTCGTATCCCCGTTGCTTCATTGATTTTGTGGTTACCAACCACGGCATAATTTGCTACTATGGGAGGCGGCAGGTCCTGCACCGAACGACAACCCTGTAATCCGATCGGAACACTCATCATCACAGAGCTGACTATGACTATGAGCAACGGTCGTAGCAAAAGTACGAACAAAGCGCATTTAGTTGACGACAGAACATGTACCAGGCTTCTTTATGCGAGCATTACCATGCTAGTAAGCTGATGCCATCACAGTGCAAACGCCTGCTATTCGCCGTTAGAAACCTCGGCTTTGAACTTCAAGCGTACTTGGCAACCTCAGAATAAATGGGACCGAGCGTAGAAGCCGAAGTTAGATCCTTTATTCGAAGGACCCCCTGCAAATAGCCGGGAGGCTAGCTTCTAGCCAGTTTTTCCGAAACCACACTTTGGCCTGGGACGTGTCACTGTTGGGCGTAGGTTACTCAGATCCTCACATCAGAGCCTCATCGAGCCTTTGTAAACCGATGAAGACTTCTGATCGTGCCTCCCCCGCAAGAATTCATCATGAGCTTATTCAGCACTGTAGTGTAGAAAATATCTACGTATCATGATTTTGGTGTACCTCGGAGCAGCTTGTCAAAATATCCAAGGTGAAGCAACACCCCTCTAATGCAGCCAGAAAGAAGCGGATATACATAGGTTAAAACAGCGGAAAAGCTCTGTGTTGAGTACTGCGCACAATTTGCCATTCTATTTCTGAGGTGCTGGCAGAAACCACAACTTGCCGAGCAGCTTTCAATACGAGTCTGTTGCTCCATATTGGAATCGAAAAGAAAGTTAGCCTGGCCTATGGGCGCGTAGTGCGCAGCCTGGACCAAAGCAACTTTCTCCATCCTCCACGGCCCCTGTTGTGGTCTCCTTCTCTGCCCCTCATCGAATGTGCCGTCAAACGGTTCTCTTTCATTCTGGCTGCAACTCTGGCCAAATAGGCTTCCCGCCGAACCCCTAGGATCCCAGCACACCTGATCAAACCTTGTGCTGGTCCCCTCGCCCCCCGTGTTCTCTCGAACCCTGACACTCATGGTCTTCCTCTTCACGATTCTGTTGCCAGGGTCCTGCGTTTGACTCGTACCCACAGCCCAGCAAATCATGTTGCCAGCACTTGAATCCCGGCATCTCCATACCATCATCATCAGCATTGTCATCAGCTTGCATTTACTACCTAATACAGATATAGATATATGCACGCAGTGCGTATGTGTGTATCTGAAGTATGTTTTATACGCATGTATATATAAACTTCCTTTTTGCACACACACACACACATATATATATATATATATATATATATACACATAATAATAATGCAGGGTCTCGGATCGAGCTGCAAGGCAGTAGTGCAGCATTGCCAGGACCCCAGTACCGCGTAAATCGCCATGAGGAGTGGAAGGCGGTACGAGCAATTGATGGCAAGGTGCCAGACAAAGCCAGAGCCTCGCGAGCTTCGCTGCGCCAGTTGCAACTCCAGTGGCAATATGATGCTATAGGCTCTGGTGATGTTGTTTGGCCTTCCTTTATGGACTTCTGCAGCTGCACTTCGCGCAGCTACAGATGTGATCGTGGTAGCGAGGACATGTTCGAGCATGTCACGGCCAAGGTCAAGCTCGAGTGTCTTTACAACAGACTCCATGCTTCCAGAGGGAGTGCAGCTGTGCTTTGCGATAACCCGCATGGGAATACGTTCAGCACTGGACATCTTGACGAACATGAGGGTAACCAAGACAGATGCGGCGGGTCGCTGTCTCGACATCTGCATGATGAGGTCGACATCACGGCTGCCTGGCGTGGGGTTTGGGCGCGACTTGCAAGAGACAGACACGACCAACGGACTTCTGTCATAACCTCGGATGACAAGGTCTTTAGGCTTGATGTTGGGGCGTCCGGCAGCAGCGAACACACGAGCGTCAAGGTTCTGAACCATGGAGGCATTTTGCATCCCCAGCAGAGCTTGCGCGCGCCGGTCCTGCTCGACAAAGGCCGTAAGCGGGACAATGAGTTGGTGGCCTGTTTCGACAATGTGCTGGCCAAGACCCGGGATCAGGGGAGCATTCAGTGCTTGTGTGCAAGTATGTTGCTGAGCAAGGCCGCCAAGGTTGGGACGCTTGAGAACATCGAGTGGGACGTCACCCAAAACAATGAGTTCGCCTTCGATTGGTTCTGTTTTCATCCTGGTGGAAGCTGGAAATCTCCTTGCCGACTACCATCTTCGCCTTTAGAGGTGCACACCCGTACAGACCGCGCGGGCTTTCGCAGGCAAGGTCATCGTGCTGCGTGAAGGGCGGTGAGCAAGTGATCAAGCCCGCGTTTTCGTTTCTCGCGAGTGCCCTTGCAGCTTTCGTGGTCACTCATGGAGCTCTAGGGTGATCGTTCGTTCGATTTGGGAGTCTTCGAGACGGACTCCCCATCAATATTTTCGGGCAGATTGCTGCACCGGGAGGCTGGGCTCTTTGCTTCCCGAGTGCATGCTGCTGTTGATGGTTTTGTTTGAAAGCCTCTTCGGGCTTTTGAGCCCGGGCGGACTGCAACAGTTGACAGCCGGGCTGCCATCGGAGGCTTTGGCCCTGCTCATGTGAGGCAATCTCTTTAACCAGATCTCTGAGCTGGCCCTAAAACGCTGAGGGCCTCAAGGGACGTCGTCACCGGCCCGTGTGTCTCAGCTTCCGAATCTTCGGAGTCGACTCTCTGGGCGCCTTTCCCAGGGAAGTTCACGAGACCTGCCCAGAGACTCCAATACCCCTGAATTAGGGAATATTCCTTAAATCATATTAGGGATCCTACTATAATTTAAGGTATATTCCTTAATTAAGGGATATTGGAGTCTTTGGGTGGAAGGGTGGAAGTCGTCTTTTGCTAGTATGCCCAGTAACCTAGGAATAAAAAGGGCTCCCTTTCTGGTAACCTTGCAAACATTAACTAGGCAGCGAACTCCTCTGAATGCAGCGAAATGAAATGAAGTATAATAACGCTATATATAGGAAAAAGAAGCTCTCTCTACAAAAACATATTATGTATCGACAGAGTATGCCGTGTCCATCAGCCCGAGATGCCACCGTGACAGAGCATCCCGCCAGCGCCAGGCGCTTCGCCAGGCCGTGCCCAAGGCCTGGGCTCTTGTGTGCTAAGGAATTTGGGGGTTGAGGAGTTCAAGATTTTGGGTTGAACGATTTCGGGGTTTCGGATTTTAGGATTTTAGGGTTGAGAGATTTTGGTGTTAGGGCTTTGGGTTTAGGATTTTTAGGATTTAAGGCTCAGGGCTTCTTCTTCTGGGCTCGCTGGTCCAGGTTGGTGCGGACTGAATTCGAGGGCTCAGGGTTTTGGGTTAAGTTTAATTAACTGACCATGATCTAGGGTTCCTGTAAGGGTTCCAGAAGGGTCTAGGGTTTAGGAATCTAGCTGAAGTTACCATTATAAGGAAACCATCGTATTCGATCCCTCTTGTGCATTCCTAACCCTGAACCCTTCTAACCCTAGTCCCTTAAACCCCCTTAAACCCTGAAGCCCCAAACCCCAAATAATTGTAGCTTAAACGAAGCCCCTAAACCCTAGACCCTTAAACCCTAAACCCCCTTAAACCCTCAAGCCCCAAACCCTTCTAACTCTAAACCCTTATAACATTATGGAATCCTTCAAGGAAGCCTAAGTTATGGAAACTTAAATCCATTCGGGTGTTCGTCAAAATTAGGATCCCTTTGTGGGTACCCTAAATAATAGGTGCCGTATTATAATGGGGACCCAAGAAGGACCATAACTTTTACAACCGCAAAATCCTTAAGAAGAGCCCCGAGGCCGGACGTACCGCCGACGACCAGGGCGGAGCGGCCCCGGAGGCTCACTTCCTGGAAGCTCGGGCTGAAATGATGGGAGGCCGAAAAAGGGGGTTTAAGATTTGGGGTATGCAGTATGCAACCTCTACGAAACACCCATGGGCTAAAACACCTTTTGGCCTCCTATGATGAAAGTTCCGGGTTTGGGGCTTGGGGCGCTTTGGGGGGGTGGG